TCTTACTTCAAGAAATCTAACCAAGCTCATCTATTTTTGTTCTATTACCATTTTCATTAATTATTACAACAAAAAAAATCATAGTTTTTCCTTCTCTTTGAAGTGGATTTCTTCCAGCGTATCATCATTATGAACGTTTGTCCGTTTCACCCCGAAACAGCAGAGCTGTGGAGGTCAGATCTGGTTCCTACAATGCAGTGGGTTCCTCAGGGATTGTTGATGGAGAGGAGAGGCATGTCTTACTCCCTTCAGCGCCGCAAAGATTTTTCCAGGATTCAAACTGCAGACCTTTGGGCTTAAAAAGCTCCATTTTAAGGGCTGACCATTTACATTGGCTGCCTCATCCCTCTGCACCTTTATTACCTCCCGGGAAACTGGAGTCCACCGAGGTCAGAACAACACGATGTATGTGAACCGCTGACCGGTGTGTCTAAACTCCTGACTGTGTTCTTAAACTGCCCACACGATCCCTCCGCATACCTTCGGTAACTCTCAAGAGGTTCGTGTGCTTCGATAAGGCTGAAGGAAGCAAATGTTTTCTGGGAGGCGTCTACCTGAAGAAGCGAATACTGCCAATCCAAGCAGCCCGCTCGTGGATTAGGCGCCTGATCCGCCTGTATATTGTCAGATATTGTCAAACCCTGTGGAGCCTGTGGGCTTTTTCATAACGGGGCGAGAGATTGAACTTCGGTTTGGCAGCTTCCAACAATCCACGAGCCTGAACAAGGGATCGGCTCTGACCACATTTAGTTGTTGTTTTTTTGTGTTTTTTTCAGGAGCCACAAATGCAAACTAACAGACATTTGCATGAATACATGAGCACATGTACACAATGTATGTGAGCTTATACCAGCACTCACACAGAATACATAAATGATGGAGAATGCATTGCTTTGAGAAGCTGCCTGGAGGATTGAACGGGTGCCAGTACCGAAAAAAAAGGGAACCTGACGTTTAGGAAAAAGTCTTACGTAAATGTCTATTCAGTATGATTCATTGCCTTTAGCAAGGAAACAATAACTACCAGTCAGGGCCCCGTTCCTCGTACGTGGCTACCTGAGTTAGCCGGATACTTTTCAGGATAAGATGACGTAGATCAGGCTTTTCGGTTCCACGAAGCAAGTTTGGCAAAATCACCATGGCAACACATCCATAAACTTGAAGCTGCTCCAGCGCAGGCTAACTGAAGGTAGCTGGATAAGCTGCCACTCCCCCGGAAAACATGGCAGCTCCTGTCACATACGGTAGTCTGATGCGCTTGCGCATATACCGGGGGTTATACGGGAGTTCCAGAAATGCATGTAAAGTGAGACACACGGTGATCCATTAAAGCAGCTGAGCAAACTAAGAAGCCTCTATTGCATTAATGTACAGCTCCCTTCCTCAGAGATCCACTGATGGAGGAGGATATTAGTTAGATTAGCGTTTTATAGGGAGAGAGTTCTTCCACATCGCCAAGATCCGTTATCACATCATGAAGACTTCCTATACGAGCGCTATCCATTCTGCCCACAAGGAATCATTTATTTACAGACCTTCTGGAGCATACATTGAACACCACACGCTGCAGCCGAGCACTGATGTCTCACACACTGGATGCAGCCTTGAGCTGTTCTGCGAGTGGTACATTGTTGTACAGTGTCGGCGATGCGGAGAACATGGGGAAAGCCGCTGCATGCCGTGCTGTTGGTAAAGTTTATTAGGTGCTTAATAAACTTATGGATGTGTTCATTACATCACCATGGCACATATTGTACTGACTCAGCATTCTGAGTAATGTGTGTGTGTTGGTGTTTACTTGCTCCCATGTCCTCTTGATGGCTGCGTTGCATACATGAGGGTTAAAGCACTCATAATGATATGACAGTGTTATTAGTACACCAGCTTATCATTACTGTAGAACATGATGAAGGTGGACTCATGATAAGAACAGAGAGAATCACACACTATTGATCTTCACTGCTTCAGTTGATTGAATGTGTGATGATGAATAATACACACACACACACACACACACACACACACACACACACACTGATCCGCCCACACACAGATTCACACACACAGATTCACACTGCTAGTTCTATATGGTGATCTACACATACATGTATATACACATATATAGTACATGATACATGAGGGCATACAGTACATATATCCTCATATTAATGAGGATCAGTAGATGCTCTTTGGGCTTGTTTTTATCTTATTGTGAAAGAGTTGAGATCATTATTGTCGCTATAGATCTCATTGGATGATGCATTCATTAAGCCTACTGCCAGCAGCTCATTTAAAGACATATCATCTGATTGATTGGGGTGATGAGGCGTTAAAATGAGCCGATACATTTACAACTCTTACGCATTTAACGTGTGTGTGATATTTTGCGTGCTTCTTGTCTAGCCCTCGCAGCGGTGGAGGTGTTATATTTAGCCGTGATTATGGTCTTGAATTCCTCATATGCGTTCATGATCATGTCCTGCTCGTCAGCGGAGTAAAAAGAGGCTCTTTCTTTCACTTTATTTAACATTGTGCTGTTAGAAAATCATGGTTTCGGTAAATTATGAACTATGAATTTTAATTCCATTTTTATTTGAGACTTTGTAATTTTAGGCTGCCTTCAAACATCTGGCCGGGGACACAGATAGAAACCTCTCTGGCTCACTTACTGTGTGACTGTTGATTGGTGTGCTTTGTGCCTGAAAAACAAAGAAACACACATGCACACATGAACACATGCACACATGCACACATGCACACATGAACACATGCACACATGCACACATGAACACATGCACACATGAACACATGAACACATGAACACATGCACATGCACACATGAACACATGCACACATGCACACATGAACACATGCACACATGAACACATGAACACAGCACACATGAACACATGAACACATGCACACATGAACACATGCACACATGAACACATGAACACAGCACACATGAACACATGCACACATGAACACATGCACACATGAACACATGAACACATGCACACATGAACACATGAACACATGCACACATGCACACATGAACACATGCACACATGCACACATGAACACATGCACACATGAACACATGAACACAGCACCATGCTGACATGATGGCATTCAGATGATTAAAGTAGTTTTACTCTAACTGATGCTCAGATGTGTTCATTCTGTCACTTTGTGTGATCAGAAGAACAAACACATGTAGAACTGAAGGTTCAAACATAAGACAGAGAAGAAGAGGAAAGAGGAGAAGAAGAAAGAGGAGAAGAAGAATTAGAAAGAGGAGAAAGAGAAGAAGAAGAAGAAGAAACCCCCACAGTGATCTCCAGAGGAGGAGGCTGCTGAGAAGTGAGAACATGTTGTTCTCCTCTTCATCACACCTTCTCCTCACAGTCACCTGGTTCACAAACGCGCATTCTTGCGCGCGCTCCATACGCGGTGCGCGCGCTCCTGCTTTGGCGGTCCTTTGTTTGTTTGTCTCGGCGTAACGACAGCGTGCACGTAAGAATGCGCATTCACGTGAAGCGCACAGGATCCATCACGTGTTCCTTTTGAACTCGTCGTTACTTCACGCGCTGGATATTGATCAGAGAGAATACATGAGAAACATAACTCACATGAAACAGTTCAGTCGGACTGTAACTCAGCGAACACTCGTGATGTCTCTTCCGGGTTCATCATCACGTGACAGGACACACCTCCTACCTGTATGCATCACGTGAACCAGAGCAGCGTCAACAACAACATCATCAAACTCAAACTCATGTTCAGATCATATCTGTAATATTCTCATTTCATCCCGATATGACGTCACTCCGCTTTAAGACACAAACTCTTTATTATACATCAGTTCAAACACGTTTACATCTTCATTTATACACTTATTGTTTAATATTACAGCATCACTCATAACAGTTTATTTATTTACTTATTATTTTACATGTTGCCTCAAGAGTTATCAAAGTAAAGCTGACGTTTGTGCTGACAATGCAACTTAAAGCTGATAATCAGTTAATATCCGACATGAAGAGATGAAGTAATGAATGATCAATGAATCACATCCAGAGTTATGCTGACTGTAGCTACTTCAGCAATATTCAACATCTGATGAGAAATTAAACTGTTTGTGTACAAACAGAGCAGACAGAACTTGTTGCTACAGTGACCTTTACAGGCGTCGCTTTGGTTGTTTTTAAACTCTGGACACAGTCTTTATGCTAAGCTAAGCTAACTCTGATCTCCATAAACACATATCTGCACATGAAGGCAGACTCTGGACTAGAGTTCTGTGACGTCAGCGCTGTGTTTCTGTTTCGAGTGTTATTGACCAATCACGTGGGCCGAGTGCAGCTCAACAGTGAGAAGAGAAGAGAAGAGCAATGAACTGATCATCGTCTGACCTCCATCCAGCTGCTTAAGACCACTTTATTATCCATGAGACGTCATCTACCAACTATACGACCACGAGGTCCTCTCATGTTGAACTGTGCCTTTAAGATATTAACAAACACTTATAATATATATATTAACAATCAGTTCTAATATATATTAACAATCAGTTCTAATATATATTAACAATCAGTTCTAATATATATATTAACAATCAGTTCTAATATATATATTAACAATCAGTTGTAATATATATATTAACAATCAGTTCTAATATATATTAACAATCAGTTGTAATATATATATATATATAACAGAGGATATTAAGATATATTTGTGTTGCATACAGAGTGAGACGTAACATTCTGCCTCCTCTGACTTTGTGAGACGTGAAGTGGTTCATTAGAAGAAATAACAAACAGTAAATGTGAGGAAATTAACATATATATAAATATATATATGTATGTATTTATATTTATCTGTATGTTTTCAGTCTTTGAGAAAATCTTTCTTAGGTTCTCCTCAGAGGTCAGGAAGTCGTTTTATTTCCCTCGAGACGTTTCTTCGGCCACATCCATCAGATCATCGAACAGATCTGAAACAGAAACACGAGACAATGATTACTGTTTGAATTATTCAAACTTCTCGTTTTAAAGAAAAGAAAAATACATTAATTATTCATTAATTAATTACATTAATACGTGAAACGAACTTCCACCGTTCACGTCGTTCTTCATCACTCAAGCTTTTTAATCACCGCTTCTTCTATATATATACATATATATATATGTATATATATATACATATATATATATATATATATACATATAATACTCTATAATATTCACAGCAGTGATGGATTTATTTAGACTGTTTTATGGATTTCTTCTATAAATGTGTTTCATTTTATGGAATAGCTGTTGGGTGTGTTAGATTATTGTTGATAATTGATGAACATTACGTACCTCCATCATTTAGTTGTACTTTCATTCCTCCTCCTCCTCCTCCTCCTCCTCCTCCCATCTCATCTCCTCCTGCAGAGGCGGCTCCCTCCAGCTCACTGAAGAGACCAGTAAACCCAGATTTACTCTCTTTCTTCTTGTCGTCGTCGTCGTCTCTGTCGAAGATCTTTGTGAAGAAGCTCTCCTTCTTGTCGTCTTCGTCCTTCTCCCTTGACTTCTTCTTGTGGTCGTTGTCGTCGTCGTCTCTGTTGAAGATCTTTGAGAAGATGCCTTCGTCTTTGTCCTTCTCCTTCTCCTCCATACCGAGAGCCTTCTTCACAGCGTCCTCCACCATGTCTCCTGCAGAACAAACACATGAAAACCACTGTAGTGTTGGATTTAACCGCCCTGCAGCACCGGAGGGGTGGGGTTTATCTCACGGGGGAAGATGAGAAAATACCTGAAAATAAATATTACAATTTGCCTGAAGCTCCGATCACCTGTTTCTCCCAGATGTTGAAAGTCAAACACGACTGTTTGCTCACAGTTACTTTAATGGCAGCTCGACAACCAGGAGTCAACCTCCGGTTCTTTAAAGAGAGGACAAAGCTTCATGTGTTAAAGCTGCATTCTCTCTAGTGTCCACCAGGGGGCGACTCCTCTGGTTGTGTAGAAGTCTATGAGAAAATGACTCTACTTCTCTCTTGATTTATTACCTCAGTAAACATTGTAAACATGAGTTTATGGTGTCAATCTCTAGTTTCAAGTCTTCTTCAATACAGCATGATGTTCATTTAGTACATTATGGTCCATTTAGAGTCAAACAGACCATAAAGCAGGGGATGCTTTAGGGCGGGGCTACACGGTGATTGAGTCATAACTCATAAACTAGAGATTGAGACCATAAACTCATGTTTACAATGTTTACTGAGGTAATAAATCAAGAGAGAAGTAGAGTCATTTTCTCATAGACTTCTATACAACCAGAGGAGTCGCCCCCTG